GACTTTCTTCTCATCTGGCCCTGGAATTCTTTATAAAGCTATTGACGATATTTCAGAGGGAAATGTCGGATTCGGCGTCTGTTAAGGATACGGGGTCTGAAGCTTCCGCGAGAGCTTGAAGCATGTTTACGACCTCAGCCGGGTCGTCCAAATAATACTTGGCTTTGCTAGGTTTCTGACCAACTGTACAGGCAAAAACAGACGTATTTGAGGAGAGGATGCCGCCGGAAATTGCACTACTAATGATCTCGAACATCTCATCAGATCGGTCATCGCCAATGCAGAGAACAAAATCCGCTTGCCTTCCATTCTCGGCCATGGTCGTGAATATCTTTTCGGCGACGACGCCTTTAGTGAGTCCCTAAAAGCAACATTAGAGAGCTGATTAACATCAATTCATGCATTCATCCAGTTAATGAAACTATGTTATTAAATCACTTGTGATGAACAATATAACCACCCCAAAATTGATTGCAAAGTTATCTTTTACGTTCTGTAATCGCAAATAAAGGAATTGAAGAAAAAGTTTTCCGCGTGTAAAACCGATTTTAACATACGAACTAGAAGAAACGATCGAGAAATACACGAAAGACACATATTGCATTTCATTAAGTTGGAAAATCTAAACCAAGTTAAAAAGGTACCTGCGGTTTGACTTCAATGATATACTGGCCACTTTTCACAGTCACTGGCTCATTTGCTAATACACTCTCGAGATGATCTAACATCTCCTTCGCCTGGCTAGACCCGAAACTCGGGTCTGCATCTCGATGGTGCCAGACCAAAGCACTCTCCTTGGTTTCAATAGAGGAGCCATCAGTGGCCTCTGTATACAATTTCATAACAGGTTCAGCTATTTCCTTCCACCCAAACTCGCTACTCTGTCCACGAACTTCCCACTTATCGTCACTAGACCACCTGAAAAACCGACAACTTTGAAGTAAGTGCACCAATTGAAGAACCACTACAACAAAAAGAAAAAGGCGGAAAAGGCGTAAACAACATACCTCATGAAATAACCATGTTCAGCTGCAATTCCGAGTTTCTTACATCGAGAAAACCATTTGTCTAAACTTTCTCTTCCTCTTCCACTTACAACAAAAACTGTATTCTTGGAGTCATCAGAGAGCGTGTTTATGATTGAGATGACCTCCACACTTGGGGCCTTATTATGTGATGCTTGAGGCATTACTGTTCCGTCATAGTCGAACAGTATAGCCCTATTTTTGGACCTTAAATACACAGATTCCATGTGATCAATAGACAACTTTCTGAAGTTAGGGTCAAGTGCTACAACTCTGAATCCAAAGCTCAAACCAATACCCCAACACCGTCTTCTAAAATGGTCTTTGCACGTCCTTTCCATATCCTGGAAGAAGCTACGAGACCAGAATGCTACATCATGTGAGCTAACATACCTATAATGCTTCTCGTGTCGCAACTGCTTCTCAGCATCAACCATTGAGATTGCCTCATTCATTGCCTCAGCAGTTGCTTCGATATTCCAAGGGTTTACCCGAATTGCACCACTGAGTGAAGGAGAGCAACCAATAAACTCCGATACCACTAGCATGCTCTTCTTAGGCCCATTTGATTCAGAGACTCCTGCCGGCATGCAATATACTCGTAAGGGGTAAGGTTCATCCCATCTCTCACAGCCGTGACTACAACACACTCGGCTATAGTGTAGTATGCAACCCTTTCACTTAGGGATACTGGCTTATCAATGAAGACAATTGGTTCATAACCAGGTTGTCTGAAAGCCTCATTTATTCTCATGCAGCTTGCCTTTATTTCAGCCTGCGTGCTCTCGAGATCTTTCCCTCTTCCCCTAGCAGGGTCGTGATCTGTACGAGCACTGCTTTTCCCTGCCACTTTGGGTGCCTTTTCAACAACTGCTCTGTTGCCAATAGCTTCAAGTTGACACCTTTAAGACATCCATGTCATCGACTCCAAGCAATACAGTCTTTCCTTCGAACTGTCTTTTAAGCTCACCTATTATTGATTCCTCATCAGCAAGTCTCAGTGCAGATTCGATCTGTTCCATGTGGACTCCTACAGGCATGATCTTTATCCCAATTGTCCTTCCATAGTACTCCAGTCCTATATATCCCCTTTTCGACTGATACTCTAAACCAAACATTCGACTACAACAAGACAAAAAATGGCGAGCATAATCAAAGTATGAAAACCAATTAGGTCCGAATTCAACAGTGCCTTTAGGATCTCTTCCCTCACTGGCAAAGTTCTATATATCTCAGACGAAGGGAAGGGGCTATGTAGAAAAAAGCCCATTTTCAATCTATTAAACCTTCTCCTCAAGAAGGTAGGCAGCACCATCAAATGATAATCGTGGATCCAAACATAATCATCTTCCGGATTAATAACTTCGATAACCCTTTGAGAAAAAATCTTATTCGCAGCAACATATGCCTCCCACAAAGACCTATCGAATCTACCTCCACGATTCACCGAAAGCGGCAGCATATAATGGAAAAGTGGCCACAAATTCTGTTTACAGAAACCGTGATAGAACTTCATGAAAATCTCGGGCGGCAAAAATGCAGGGACACACTTAAACTTATCCAACAAATGCTGCGAAACCTCATCTTGTTCGTTGACATCAACATCAACCTTCAAAGAACCAACATACAAAACCTCCATTTCTTCAGGCAAACCATCTTTAACTGTAATAACAACGAATAGTCGTCCCAACTAAAAGTCCCTTTATTATCCTGTCTACGCTTAGCTTTAACAGGTAATTGATTCGCTACGATAATAATTCGATCCTGATTAACCGAAGATGGTACATCAGAGCTCACACTATTAGCCGGATCATCATCAAGCTCGGAAATTACCCCGGGAACGGTCATCACTCGTGTCAGCCGTTTCTTCTCGCGAGGATGACTCATTACCGGGAAATTACCCTCGGCTAAATCTAAAAGATTAGTATACGATCTTGACATCATCTTTACCCCTCTTTTCTAATTATCACCCTCAACAACAATCGAACAGATCAAAACTATAAACAAGATCCTTCAAGGTTTTGATTTCTCTCCCAAAATCTACTCTTTTAATTTTGGCACGATCTGCATTAGTATTTGAAGCAGACATCATCTTTACAATAATCAAATAAATTCGATCCAAAATTGCAAAAAAGAAAAACTCTAAAAATACCCAAAAGAATACTATATCAAAATTCAATCAAAAATAAAATAAAAAACCAAATTATGAGCCGGATGAATGCAAATGATGAAACATTGAAACTAACATTACCCTTCAAAGCACTGAGCTTTTTGTCAAGAATTGGGAATTTTCTCGGATGGGGTTCATTCAAGGGGAGGAACGAATTCAGGGTTTTTTTTTGTGTGGTCCTCTGTTGATTTCAACGAGTCACATTTGCAAATCAAAAGAAAAAATTGGCCTTTTTTGGGTTTGTTTTTACTTTTTCCTTTCTGCATGCAGCTTGCAAGTGTTGGTTATATGGCAATCGACATTGGAGAAAAAGCATGCAAGGTGGCGCCACTTCACTTTTGCCGTTCGATGGTACGTACACAAGTTGATCTTTGCCGTTCTTTAAACACGAACCCGTTTCCCTTTTTTCCATTTGTCTTTTATAGAGAGCGTTTGGGAAGTGATTGTGTGATTGGATTTAAGTATGATTAGGTGTAATTATAAAATTTGTGAATCATACTAAATTTAATTTAACTAAAAGATTATATTAAAGGAATATATTTATTGAATTTAAATTAAATTAAATTGAGCTAATAAATTATATAAGTAAAAAGGATAAAATGTATAGTTATATCAATTTTATAAAGGACGATGCTTCCACGCTCGACGTGCACGGATGAATACCATTAAATTAATATATAAAACATTAAATTATAAAGTACTAAACGTATAATTATAAATTAGTTAAAAATCTAAATGAAATACAATATTTATAAAATATTAGTTTTTAGGTAAACTATACAAAATTGAAAAATCGATTGTTAAAGTAAAAAAAGTAAATAGTTAAGTGATCAATGATATTTACCCTAAAAATTAATATTTTATAAATATTATATTTTATGTAAATTACATTTAGATTTTTAACTAATTTACAATTATATGTTTAGTACTTATAATTTAATGTTTTATAATTTAATTTAATGGTGATCATTGTTAAAGTTGCTCATCCACACTCGACGAGCGTTGTATAATTTTTCTTTTATAAATTGTAACGTTAATTTGTTTCGTCAAAATAATAATGATATGTGGTTTGGTTAGTATTATTTAAATAGTTAATTAGTTTGATTAATAAAATTCAAGGATTAATAGTTAAAATAGATAAATATATTTATTAAATTTAATTTAAATTAAAATTAAATTGATAAAATGTACAAGTAAAAAGAATTAAATGTGTAATTATACTAATATATTAACTGTTACATTAGTTCTTCGAAAAATATTAACATCATGTGACTTGATTGTTATGATTTAAATAATAAGTGATCTCACTGATAAAATTAAAAGTTGTCGGTAAGATTAGAATCTTTCATTATTAAATGATCATAGATGTACTTTACCCTATTTTTTAAAATTATAAATAAAAATTATTTAAAATTAAATCAAATTTTAGTAATTTAAGTGTTAAATTTGTATCATGTTATCGATATAATGATAGTTAATACCAAAATGATTATTTTGTAATTGATCGATAATTTGAATGATCGTAATATTATTTTTGAAACTTTAATATTTAACATAAAAACTTGATAAAACTTCAGTTACCAAAAAAATAAATTCAGATGTAACGTTAGACAGAAAACACAAGCACCAAATGTAGAAAGAAAAAAACTAACAAATTCAATTACCATATTAGAAAGAAAACAAATTTAGATACCAAATTGAATAAAAACATATATATATATATATATATATATACACATACCGACATCAAATAAAATGACAGATGGTATCAGATCGTATTTATTTTCTAGAGCGATCTTGAGAAAAAGCTCTTAATAAACTGGAAACTAATCCTTCTTCGAAGCGAAGCACAAAGTAAAAGTAAAAGATGGCTGGTTATAGAGCAGAGGACGACTATGACTACCTATTCAAGGTGGTTTTGATCGGTGATTCAGGCGTGGGGAAGTCCAATTTGCTCTCAAGGTTCACCAGGAACGAGTTCAGCTTGGAATCCAAGTCCACCATTGGCGTTGAGTTCGCAACTCGGAGCTTAAACGTCGATGGCAAAGTCATCAAAGCTCAGATTTGGGACACTGCTGGTCAAGAAAGGTCTCACTCTTACCATTCACTTGTCTTCCTTTCCTCGTTTCTTGATCTGGGTGTTTTTAATTCTCAGCTGATTTTGCAATTTTTTTTTATGAAATATGGAAATATCTATTTTGGGTTGAAATTTGATTTTGGAAGTGTTTTGATTTGTCCTGAAAATGGATTTAGGTAGTTTTTTTTCTTGCATATCTCTAGATCTGTCAGCTGCATGCGTCTTTTTTTCTTACAAATTTAGTTGCTTAGGTTTTGGATTTTGAATAGCTTGAACATAGAATTGGAGTGTTGATCAACAAATCTCAATATTTCTCCAACTTGTAATTGAGTTTTCATGTGGTAATTTAGTTGACTTGTGTGAGTTCTACCACAGTATGGTTTACAAGAAACCGATGAACTTCACTGGCGGCCGTAAACTTCGTCTCTATTCATCTTTCCTGCTTCATAATTCTGTCAGTATAGTCCCAAAGACATAATCGTTTAACCGAGTGTGCGAATAGAATCTGGTGCTTAGCATAATCTTTAGGTGGTCAATGGGACCTTGTAGTTACGGTTTGGCGAATTTGGTGATGGAAGAAATGGCTTGAACCAGCAAATAGATGTTAGGTTGTCATTGGGATATTTTAGTTATTACACGGTTCGGTTTGAACATAGAATTGGAGTGTTGATCAACAAATCTCAATATTTCTCCAACTTGTAATTGAGTTTTCATGTGGTAATTTAGTTGACTTGTGTGAGTTCTACCACAGTATGGTTTACAAGAAACCGATGAACTTCACTGGCGGCCGTAAACTTCGTCTCTATTCATTACTTTCCTGCTTCATAATTCTGTCAGTATAGTCCCAAAGACAATCGTTTAACCGAGTGTGCGAATAGAATCTGGTGCTTAGCATAATCTTTTAGGTGGTCAATGGGACCTTGTAGTTACGGTTTGGCGAATTTGGTGATGGAAGAAATGGCTTGAACCAGCAAATAGATGTTAGGTTGTCATTGGGATATTTTAGTTATTACACGGTTCGGTTTGGGACGAGTTTTTGCTTCCTGTAAATATTTTATTCTTTCATTCTTATGTGCTAGAGAAGTCGATACGTATGGTTTTTAATGCACTATGGCATATTAATCTTTAGGAGGGATCAAAAATATAATTTTTTGATTTAACTAAAGGGCTAAAAGACTTAAATTGAACTTTGGCCCTGCTTTCCCCTAGCTTGTCCCTGGTTGGTTTTGTAGAATTTACAGCCGATTTCATACTTTGTTGGCCGGTGTCAACTTACCAAGAATTTCGGTATTGCATATGAAAATAAAACATTTCAATATGAAAAGTCCCTTGGATCCTAGAACACGTGCTATAATTGTTGATGTTGCCATTATCTTTTCCTTGGTCGGTTTTGGTTTCCCTGTTTTAGTAGGGTGTAAGGCCACTAAAGCATTGCCCTCCGTTCTCTAGACCGGCGGAAAGTAAGGGAAGGAGGAGGTGAGGATAGGCCATGAAGAACAATGGAAACATACATTTAGCAATTTTCTGAGGTTTACAATCTCTACATAGTTTAGATTCGTAATTCAGATAAGGGTGGTATGATTGAATTGCTTCGTCATCATGATAATAGCTGCACTACTGTAGTTTTAGTTCCTATGAATCAATGCATCACTGAAGCTCGATGTTTTCAGAACAAATGCTCTCTTTGTACTTGAAAGCTAGTTCTTTTTTACTGAAACGAGTGTTAAATCTTTATGTTCCATACTTCTTGTGCTTGTTTTATGTTTTCTCAACTTCTCTCTTCAAACTTATAGGTATCGTGCCATAACAAGTGCCTATTACCGAGGAGCTGTTGGTGCGCTTCTCGTGTACGATGTTACCCGGCACTCCACGTTTGAGAATGTCGAGAGGTGGTTAAGAGAGTTAAGGGATCACACGGATCCCAACATTGTAGTCATGCTCATCGGTAACAAATCAGATCTCCGTCATCTTGTGGCCGTCCCGACCGAGGACGGGAAGTCTTTTGCCGAGAAAGAGTCCCTCTACTTCATGGAAACATCTGCTCTCGATGCTACAAATGTGGAAAATGCATTTGCTGAAGTTCTTACACAAATCTACCATATCGTGAGCAAAAAAGCCATGGAAGCGGGCGAAGAAGGGATTAACTCGGTTGTTCCCTCCAAAGGTGAGAAAATCGATGTCGGTAAAGATGTCTCCGCGATGAAGAAAGGGGGTTGTTGTTCAAGCTAGAATGTAGTTAATCTGAAGAAGTCTGATTGTTTTACCGATGTGGGTGGGGATTGTTTTTATAGTATTGCATTTAAAATATGAGTTGGGGTGGCGGTTTCTCCAATTCATTTCATTTTTACAGAAGAATTACAATTGGGATGCCAATGGTGTTCTGTATAATTAGTGTAGGAATTGCTTACATTTTGCTGCATGTTACAAAGGATAATGGTGTTGAAAATACTGCCAGCAATGAAGTATAATTTTGCAGTCGCCTTGTTCTATATGTTGAAAACCAGTTTATTTCTTAAAGAAATACCATTTTGATGGTTTGGATTCATTTCAAATAAATAAATACTGAATGATAAATATGATTTGTGAACTTGACCAAATAAAAAAATCTCACTCGATGCAACTCGACTCGCACCCATTGTCGTCCAGTGGTTAGGATATATGGCTTTGAAATGTCTGCAACAAACTTTAGCTTGAAAAGCATTTGTGGAATGTGCTATTCATATTAATATATAGGGAAACCATAGTAGATATGAAATTTTCATTAAGACTTTCATGGATTTGAAAACTGCAGGCTGAACTGAAAGCAATCATCATATACGTACAGTGAGTGAGGAAATGCATGATGCATTACGGTTACGGGGCAAATCTCCTTTGGATGTAGCTAAACTTGGTTCCACATGCATGCATGCATGTATGTATGTATGAAGAGCCTCCATGCATGAAGTTTTTGATGGCTTGGGAAAAGTGTTTGCTAAACAAGTTACACTAACCATGCGGTATCTGCAACACGATGGTTATATGCATGAAGGTAGTTTTTAAAATGCAGTAATCGATGCCTACTCTACATCTATTACAATTGTAGACGTAATGAATTCCATCATTAACGTCTTGCTTGCCTTATTATCCATTTTATCATTTTGTTTCTTCACGATACCTTTAGGAGTTGTCGGTACGAGTGTATATTCGATCAAATTGAATTAAAAATTTTGAGTTAGACAAGTTGACAAGATTTATTTTATGACTTCAATTTTATATTAATTTTTTCCAAATCAAATTAAATTGTTCGAATTTCTCTTTAAATTTATGGGTAAAGCATAATAATGATCACTGAACTTTTCTAAAGCTTTCATTTAGGTCTCCCAACTTTTAAAATTGCAATATAATCCCCCAATATTTAGTCTGTTTGTAATATGGTCCCCCAACATTTAGTCCGTTTGCAATATCCCCCAACAGTTACGTCGAGACTATATTGAAGTTGAGGGACCTAAATGAAAACTTTAGAAAAGTTCAATGACCATTACTATACTTTACCCTTAATAATATCCATTGTTAAGATGTTGCTAACAATATAAAACTACTCTATCTATTTTTAAGCAATACTAGTAGGGGAAAGTTTTGGAAAAATGGAGGATATTTCGCCTTCTGCTCTACGCATTCTTAAGCAATTCTACACTCAGCCAAACGGAAACAATGGCGACAACGACTATGATCAATTTTGTCTCCATACTAAAGCCTTGACTCTCATATCAATTCAAAAAAGGACGACGAATTACTATTTTCACGCTGGGGTTCTTAAATCTTTGATCCTCCTCGATGAACTCGACCGTGGATAGGGTGTTCACGCCTCTGACGCCATGCGGGAAGCTTTTTGCGCCCTTGTTGTACATCGTACGCTGCGGTGGTTACACTTCTCGTGGGATGACTATTTTGACGCCATACGGAAGATTTGGGTAAAGAAAATTGGGGATTTGGAATTGTTTGGTGCCTCCGGCCTTCTTTCGACTGATTTAGCTAGATGGAGGAATGATATTGAAGCGGCACTGTGGGATCGAGAGATCGCTAAGAGGCTGTTACGCATTGAAACAACTTATGAAGCGCGGCGCCTAGTTCGATTTTATTTAGAGGAGACCTTCAGTCGATTGCCAGGGGATACCATTGTTGATGATGTTGCCTATGCTCCTGCTCCCACTGAAGGGACGATAGGCTCCTCTTCTCTTTCTTCTTTTGATTTTATTCCAAAGGCTTAATATTTTTAGGGTAAAGTATAGAAATGGTCACTGAACTTTTCTAAAACTTTCATTTAGGTCCTCTAACTTTTAAAACTTACAATGCAGTCCCCCAACATTTAGTCCGTTTGTAATATGATCCTCAAACATTTAGTTCATTTGTAATGTGGTCCCCGACGTAACTGTTGGAGGACCATATTACAAACGGACTAAATGTTGGGAGATTGTATTGCAAGTTTTAAAAGTTGGGGATCTAAATGAAAGCTTTAGAAAAGTTTAGTGACTATTATTATACTTTACCCTAAAAATAATAAGACTTTAGAATAAAATCAAAAACTTTCATTTAGGTCCTCTAACTTTTAAAACTTACAATGCAGTCCCCCAACATTTAGTCCGTTTGTAATATGATCCTCAAACATTTAGTTCATTTGTAATGTGGTCCCCGACGTAACTGTTGGGGACCATATTACAAACGGACTAAATGTTGGGAGATTGTATTGCAAGTTTTAAAGTGGGGATCTAAATGAAAGCTTTAGAAAAGTTTAGTGACTATTATTATACTTTACCCTAAAAATAATAAGACTTTAGAATAAAATCAAAAGAAGAAAGGGAAGAGGAGCTTACCGTTCCCTTCAGTAGGAGCAGAAGCAAGAGCATAGGCAACATCATCTGTAGTGGTGTCCCCTGTCAATCGATTGAAGGCCTCCTCTAAATAAAACCGAACTAGGCGCCGCGCTTCATCAGCAATTTCAATGCGTAATAGCCTCTTAGCGGTCTCTCGATCCCACAGTGTCGCTTCAATATCCTTCCTCCATTTAGCTAAATCAGTCGAAAGAAGGCCAGAGGCACCAGACAATTCCAAATCCCCAATTTCCTTTACCCAAATCCTCCGTACGACGTCAAAATAGTCATCCCACGAGAAGTGTAACCACCGCAGCGTACGATGTACAACAAGGGCGCAAAAAGCTTCCCGCATGGCGTCAGAGGCGTAAACACCCCATCTGGAGTCGAGTACATCGATGAGGATCAAAGATTCAAGAACCCCATCGTGAAAATAGTAATTCGTCGTCCTTTTTTGAATTGATAGGAGAGAGTCTACGGTGATACCAATCTTTAAGAATAAAGGAGATCCCCAACGTTGTGGCAACTACAGAGGTATTAAACTACTTAGCCATACCATGAAGCTATGGGAAAGGGTGATAGAGGCTAGGTTGAGACAGGTTACTAGAGTTTCGAAAAATCAATTTGGCTTTATGCCAGGTAGGTCTACTACGAAGGCAATTCATTTACTTCGACGGCTTATGGAGAAATATAGAGAAAAAAATAGATATGCACATGGCATTCATTGACCTTGAGAAGGCGTATGATAGTGTTCCCCGCGATACGATCTGGAAGACTTTGGAAACGAGACGGATCCCAACTACTTATATCCGGGCGATTCGTGATATGTACTATAGATCAACTACATATGTCAGGACTACAGTTGGTGACACCGAGTCATTCCCGGTGGAAATCGGACTCCACCAGGGGTCGGCTCTTAGCCCGTACATCTTCACCTTGATTATGGACGACATCTTTTGTGCGACACCAGGCGGTGTTCCATGGTGTATGCTTTTCGCTGACGACATAGTCCTAGTTGCTGAAACAAAAACTGAGTTGAATAGTAAACTGACTACCTGGAAGACTGCTTTGGAAGAAAAATGTCTAAGGATCAATATTCAAAAGACATAGTATTTATGTTCAAACTTCAGTGGGAACCAAAACGATGAAGATGTAGAAGTATGCATAGAAGGACACGTTCTCCCCACAAAGGATTTTTTCAAGTACCTAGGGTCTATGATACATAAAGATGGGGGTGTAGATGATGACGTTACACACCGTATTAAGGCGGGATGGCTAAAGTGGAGGGCTGCTATTGGAGTTTTGTGTGATAAGGTGCCTCTAAAACTTAAGGGAAAATTGTATAGAATGGCAATAAGACCAGCGCTGCTGTATGGATCAGAATGTTGGGCAATCAAGAAGGATCAGGTAAGGAGGGTGGAGGCCGCAGAAATGAGAATGCTTCGATAGATATGTGGTCGAACTCTGTGGGACATGACATCAAACTCTGCTATTAGATTATCCTTGGGGGTGGTGCCGATATCCGAAAAATTGAGGGAGGAAAGACTACGGTGGGTTGGACATGTCCTTAGGCGACAACCGTCTGATACGGTTAGGAGGGTAGAGTCGATTACAGTCGACGGTGCCAGAAGGAGAGGACGGCCTAGGCGGAAGTGGGAAGATTGCTTGAGATCTGATTTAAAGGATTTAGCCCTTACTGAGGACATGACCTCTGATAGGAAAGTATGGAGACTTAAAACCAGGGTAGCCGAGTAGTGCGGGTCACAACCATAGGGTGTAACATCTCTATCTTCTTTTTAATGCCTTTGTAGTAAAACCCATGACTTCTAATTTTTATATGTTTTTGTCATTGGAATCTATAAAGACTTAGAACTAGGGTAGCAAAGTAGTATTGCCTTAGTTTAGGTTTTAAACCATTTGACTTTATTCCTTCTCGTTGCCTGCTATCGTTGACTTCTATGTATCTTTATCTTCAGGTTCCCTCTTTTTAAATTTAGCAGGGTCTTACGTTTTTGTCTATATGTAGAGATTTTTACGCAGGGATTTATTTGCAGGGATTACTTCCCATTTCATACGCGCATATAAAGATTGCATATCAAGGCTGTACAACTATGTATTTATTTAATTATTTTTATATGCACTGCATTTTATCTTTATGTTTAAGTTTCTTACTGCCGGAGGTCTTTCACGGAAGCTGTTCTCAACATAGCGTTGGGGGCAGCCTACTAACATATCTCCCTCTTACCCCATTGCATATGAGAATAGGGTTTTGTTGTTTCCCCTACTAGTATTGCTTAAGAATGGATAGAGCAGTTTTATATTGTTAGCAACATCTTAACACTGGATATTATTAAGGGTAAAGTATAGTAATGGTCACTAAGCTTTTCTAAAACTTTCATTTAGGTCCTCATCTTTTAAAACTTGCAATACAATCCCTCAACATTTAGTCCGTTTAAAATATGGTCCCCAACAGTTACGTAGGAGACCATATTGCAAACAGACTAAATGTTGGGGACCATATTTTAAACGGACTAAATGTTGGGGGGATTATATTGCACGTTTTAAAAGTTGGGGGATCTAAATGAAAGCTTTAGAAAAGTTCAGTGACCATTACTATACTTTACCCTTGATTTAAACAACCCCTTGGACTAAACCCCAATATCGGATGATACATTAATAATGTAAATAAACCAACAGAAAGGAGTAGCAATGATTCATAAAGCCAAATCATAAATCTCTTAAAGAAAAAGATAACCAACACGTACCTAACAAATATCCAGTAGCCGAAACCTGAAAATAACTCAACTTAGCTCGCAACTACTCCTAAGCTCCAATATTCTGAGACTTGTTAAGAATGACACCTTCATATTTGACTTGGAACCACTTCATGGCATCTTCCTTGATAACTCTGTGTTGAATGCCAACACGCGACATGCACCTACGGCGACGACCCACACGGTACCCGGCTCGTTCGAGAACGACATAGAAGTCCATACCATAGATACCAGTTGAAGGATCATACCTAGAAAGATAGAAATAGTTGTAAGTTTCTTCTCTCACGAAGTTCACAACATGAATATTGAATGTAACTACGAGTAGAATGAATCCATTGATATAACTTCTTTGTACTAACTCAGTTATGGCAATAAGACATCCACAAGATTCCTCTCATACTTATACTATACCAACCACAAGGATGATTACTTAAATCCTCATGCCATTTTGAACCTACATACCCAAAAGTTGAAATAGTCGAAAACTCTGACTCGAAAACAATAGCATTGCAGCATACAAACAAGTGCCTTGCCATTCAAGTTATAGTATTTTAATTACAAAATTCAGCGAAAATCAATAGCCTAGGGCAAGCAAAAATACCTAACATAGTTTTATCACGATCATTCTTGTTAACTTTTGATAAATCAAAATTTGATAGTAACGGTTACCCAAAATAAACTTAATTGATGCCGAGATCAATGTCCTCTTGGATACCGAATCCAAAGCAGCCAGTATCACTGAAGTTCCTCCTCAGAAGCTCATATTCCTTAACCTTCAATCCACTCTCAAGAAGTTGCATTGCCTTCTCTCCCCTCACCGTAACGTAGCAAGCAATCTTCTCGTTTAGCATTATTCCAAAAGATCTCACAATATATCTAGCTGCTTGCATCAACCCAAATTTTTATTTTCATTAAAACCAAAACGAAACAAAAGGGTAAACATAATAGCATCAATCCCTGTAATTTCTCAAATTTTAAGATTTGGCTGATGTAGTTAAAATGTAAAAAAAAAAAAACTAAGATTTCTTATTCAAAAGCATATGCCCCGTTGTATGTTTCATTTTGGCATTTTTATAACTTTGCCAACTTAAAAAAAGTATCTGCTAACAAACATGCCAAATTGACAAAACCTGACAGATAATATGAACAGCGCGAAAGATTGAATTAAGATTTTTAAATAAAAATTGCAGGAAGATCAAAATTTAAACTCTTTTATTAAATTGTTCAAGAACACCGATTAAATCTCAAAGTTCAAGGATTTACAACATATTTATACCAAAAAAACTAAAAGGCAGCATTAGGTTGAGAATTTTTACCCTTGGAGAAAACTGGGGTTTGACCACTGAGTTGCTCCAAGACCTGAACAAAAAACAAAAACATAGTTAATAGATTTTGGGATTTGAAAATGAATGTGTTTTGGGTACCTTGGCAGCACGGGTGAGACGATCACCGCTTTCACCGACGGAGATGGTGAGGACGAACTTTCATTTCTCTCATTGGGTTCGATAATTTCTTCTCCGATGCCTTCCATAATTAGCCAAAAACAACAAAATGGTAATGAGATAATGGATGAATATAAAGAGTAGAAATGTTCGAATCAAGCGATTAGATTTTGAGAAAGAGAAAGATACCGTGGCGACTTTGAGGAGATTGAGAGAGAAGCTGCTTGATAGATCTAACATTTTTTTTGAAGATTAGGGTTTTAGGGTTCTTATATGAGTTCCACACCCGCCAAGTGACTTCCTTTTCAGGGTGGGTTTCGGGAAAAAAGAATTGGGTAATTATTTAAAATTTTACCTCAAGTGTTATTATTTAATATATAATGTGTGTTTCTTTTCCTTTGAAAGCAATTTTAATCTATATAATTCCTTATAAAATGGAGGAAAATAATATAATGCACAATCTCATCATCTGATGAGCGATAATATTCAACGCCTTCTACATCAAAATCTTTGAAGAACATAAAATTTTCAAATGTGATGATAAGATCATATGTTTAGGGTTCATATTATGTGCCTTCATATCTCAAACTTCACACAATCCGTCAAAAACACCTTACAACTCTACTTCAAAAACCGAACAAAATCAATCATCCATCCATAGCCAAATGACCAATCCCCCCATTATAATTACGAACAGCTCCCACAAAAGTTAATCTCGTCGTTGCATTTCTCGTCCCATCAACATTCACCTTCATCCACTCTGATTTATGGACCAAACAATCGTACTTACAACGTGCTCATTAGTTCTCAGGTCCGATATTGAATCTCTTCCGATATCACCTCTTAAAAGCGTCCATGAATCAAATAACCTAAACTCGACATCGAGTCTAGTTAAATCTCGGAAGTCATTCGTTCATATAATCCAAATTCAACTTCACATGATATTAGGGTCTGTGGTTTCTTGATAAACCGAAAGCTTCATCGTTGTAGCACACCAAATAGACCCCGTAACGGAATGGTTATTCCATCCGGCCTGCCATTCTTTGTGCCGGTTCAAGTAGCCAAAATAAAGTAGAATCACATGCACCTGGCTTTCTGAAAATGGCCAGTTCTATGTGGCTTAGAAATGCAATTGCAGAGCTGAGTTTTCATTATAAAATGAAATCTGTACTGACCAAATCTGTGATTACATTCAATGTGTACAAATGGGAATTCCCTTAATGAAATTGTCATATAATGCGACATTTATATCATTAAAACAATAACAAAAACATGAAACATTATCCCGGTACGACGACAACCTAAGCCATCATCGTCTAAAGCTTCGACATGTATGCCAGACCGAACAACAAATCCCAACAACGCCATAGTCTCATCGAGGCTCGGCTAATGAGTCTGAATCCTCAAGCCGTTAGGTCTACTTATGTTTGTATGTGCATTGAAAACCAGACACACCAAGTAACTTCGTATCCACCCAAATTCAGGAGAAGCCGCTCGAGAAGCGGGTGAAAATGGTGGAACTAAAACATATTTACATGGAAGAACCATGGAAGTACAAAGGCTATTACCAGGCATGCCATCAGAAAGTTACAGAATGGCTGTCCACGCCAACATCCTGCACCCTGATACGGTGAGCTAAAACCGATGCTGGTAGATCCTTGGTCATGCCAATCTTCGAAAAATCTATTATCTCGAACACCGGTGATGTTTTTTGCTGTTTGACCACATATTTCGCACATTCTGCAGAGTAAATAAAACATGAGAAGGTACATGTAAGTGAATTGACAACATGTTCTGCTTCCAAGTTATTTCGTATCCATCGAATGTTCGTTTCCGATACAAGCAATTCAGATATATATCAAACAGAAATTAAAAAAAAATTGCTTCTTAAACCTAATTGTGTAGGAAAGAGTCATTTATCGCCAATCAGAATGTCATCTACAGAACCTATTTAGTGAACTGTAAAACCAATTCTATCACATAGACGATAACAATTCACTCAAAGTTATGAAAAAGACTGTAATCTAGAATTTCATATTCAATATTGATCAATGTGCACATTACATATGTATATTTCCACAGTCCGAATCGATATTCCATTGCAAGAGAACCAATAACAGTTTGAGAAAAAGCATAATTAAACAACAATCACAACACATATTTCCCCCCCTAAGAGAACGAACATTTACCTGTTTCCTTTCAGCTTAAACCATGCTCGGCACAATGACTATGTGCGATTCCTAGCTCATCTTTGCACACGCAGCCAAGTTGAATTAGATCCGTAGCAGCTGCAGTAGTTGGCATACTATCAGTACACTCGTATGACTGCTCCGAGGTCAAATGGCAAATCCGACAAACTCTTTCCCCGTCAGAACTCTCCTTAAACCGTATTTTGCCACCAACACTTCCGTTTATATCGATGACGCACGAGTCCGCCTTTCTCGTTGGCCTTTCTGTTAACACTTTACTTGAACCAGTTCCGTTGTCATTCAATTGTACAACACCATTACTTTCACTCACATATTCAGTCTCTTGGGTGTTAACAACAATAATAGTCTCAACCACACATCCATCAGCCGAATCATCCGAATTCCCACTTCTTCGATCAACTTCATCGACTCCTCTCGTCTTGTTTATTTCCTCGCTCACTTCAACGAATCCCTCCCTTGATACCACTTCATTGTTTACATTTCCTTCGACTAAACTACTCGATTTCCCGGTCCTTCGATCGTTTTGACTTGAATCCGGACCGATTCCTCTCACATAACCCATCTCCTGAAGCTTACACAATCCCAACTCAACATTTTCCTCAGAATTTTTCACAGTAACAGTCTCATATAAAATTTCATTATTCGAATTCTTCGAATTTCCATCAATTTGACTCGAATTCTGACTAGTTTCTATCCTATCACCCCTTTCCTCTTGATCCATTAATCTCAGGTAACTTAGAAAATTCTACGAAAATACCTCCAAAATTATCAAAATATTCAAAGACCATGAACAAGATGATACACCCAGACCCTGAAATTCAATCCCTTTTCATGCTCATACAAATCCCCAGAAAATCAGCAAATCCATAATCACAAAGATTCAACACTAATTAACAGTGATTAAGAGCTGATTAACTCTCTCTCTAAAGCAAATAAAAATCGAACCTTTGTTGACTTGCAAAACAACGCAGAATCAGATCCTTACCTAATCCATGTTATCACTTGAACTCCAAGCAAATAATCAAAATTACATTAAAAAAAACGTTGACACGAGAAAAAAAAGGAATAAAAATGCTAACTTTCATATGAGAAACTCATCCATCGAAAGAGAAATTTCATAGAAAAAAGGGGTTTTATTGACTTGATAGAACAAGGTGCATCCTCCATTGAAATACAAAATCAATTGTGATATATATATATAGAGAGAGAGAGAGAGTTGAATGAAGGTATGTAAAAGGAATGAACTTGGAGAAAATGGTATAAAATTGAAAATAGGTTGAGTGAAAAATACGTAAATAATGCAAATTAAGGTTGACATTAAATAATAAATATTGATAGAACAGTATTTAATTATTATTTATAATTATTATATGCAATGCGTTTTTGAATTTGAATGTGTCAAGGTTTGTAAAAAAATAAAATCATATCTATTTTGTAGCACAAACTTCGAGTAAGAATCCTAAAATAAATTAAAATAACATAAGTATCATGGACAGTTGAATTTTATATATATTTAGATTATGTTATTTTTTTTATAATCATCGATATTTAATTTAATCAATTAATTTAGATCGAGTATTTCAAAGTAAATACGACCCTTTTAATCTAATTTACTCTATTTCCAAACGTCATAAAAAAATTATTAGAAGAATCACTCTCGCTTTTATAGTATCAAATCGATTAATAAAAAATATAATATAAATATATAAAATCAACTATCGATGATACATATGTTATTTTAATTTATTTTAGGATTCTTACTCGAAGTTTGTGCTTCAAAATGGATATGACTTTATTTTAAAAAAGTAAACCCTTTACAAAGGCTTTCCTTAACACGTTCAAATTAAAAAACGCTTAATAATAATAATAAAAAAATCAGAAACGCATTATATATAATATTTAGATTGTATTATTTTATTTCATTTAATTATTTTTAATAAAAATGTTGAATAATTTTATTTGTTTTTATAATATTTTTTCAGAATCAACTCTAATTATATCTCTCTAATTTACATTCATCTAATTATTTGATTGATCAACTATTTTTTATATCCTTCAATCTATTTTATTTTATCGATAAATACCTATAATTATCAAAGATAGATTACAATGAGTGATGATAAAATTAGCTTATCAATGTATTATTATTGTTGTATAGATTTTATGTTAGTGTCGATGGCGTTTATCTTCCACTCGTTGATAGTAATATGTATTTATATAAATTATTTTTAAGTTATTTAATTAAATTTTTAATTTTTTCTAGGATCCAATTTTAGTTTTTAGTTATTAGATGCTACACTTAAATGATTTAAAAAAACAATTATTATGATTTAGACTACTCTACAGTCTTATAATTCACTATATCTTCTCTTTATTCAATAAAATTACTTGTCAATTAAAATAGATAAATTATATAACAATAATTTAAAATACAATATATTATATTCATTTGATTGATCATGATTTAAAATTATTATTTTTAACCTCATCCAATTCCATTCCCTCTATTGCAAATTAATCAAATTAAATCATTAAGTATGTCAATTTTAAATTAAAATTTGATATTCAAGTTATACTTGAAAACAAAAAATATCATTTTTAAAAGTATAAATAATCGTTTATTTATTGGAAGAATACACATCTAATGTACTAAATTTCAATTGTTTTTAACATATAATTTATATAATATACAACTCATACCAATCATTGAAATTAACATACTTAATGTACTTAGGATTCCTTTGACCAATTTTATTTTCTTTACCAAAGGTCTAATTAGCTGGTCGGTCCACTAATGCTAAGTTAATATACAATATATAAACTATAATTTTATTACTAAATTAATGGATGGTGTAGAGATGTTCCTAAAAATATAATAAAACGAGTCTTTATTGTAGAGTCAATCATTTTAGTTCATATTATATAAAAGGTCCCTATACTATGCATTTTGGATAAATTCAGTCTTTCTAATGTAATTTGATCATTTTTAGTCTTTTATTGTTTTTTTAATAAGTGTTTATACGTGATAAAAATATATCCAATTATAAAAAATGTTGTTGGGCCATTATATGTTTAGAAAAATAAATCACCTCGAATTATTTGATGAAGCTATTTAAAAAAATTTATTCTGGGAATTGAAAATGCATATTTCAAAAATAAAAGTAAATGTGATCGAATTATATAATAAAAAGATTACATCTATAAAAAATGCATAGTATAAGGATTTTTTATGTTGAAATTGGCCATCGAAATTTATGTTATCGGTATTTTCCGGGTAAGTGAAAACTAACTAGAAGACGTATTTTCCACGGAAACAAACAAGAAAAAAATAAAACCAAGTGGTGATGTAAACAGAGGTTCCCACAATCTTTGGTTAAGGTTGTCGTTTATGCTTTGTTTGCCAATCAGCTGTTCATACATATACATGAAGTACCAAGTGAGATGAAATGATAATAACGTTAAAAATTAATATTTTTATTAAAATGAATAATTTACTTTTGTTTTTAATGCAAATGAAATTTCTTTGGTAAACAGTAATGGATAAAATGATCTTTATCCCAATTAAAGATTGCAATATCGAAAAGATTATTGTAACTTGAAATTTTAAAAACAATAAGGTAGCATTTATTGTTTGGATGTAAATGCAACGGTGACGGTGTGAACGAAAATGACCAATAAAAGTATTATTTATTTATTTAATTTCAATAATGGAGAGAATTATCTGAGATTAAATTGAAATGTCAATCAAAACTAAAACGACGTTTGGCGCTCAAACATTCCAAAATCCACCTACAGAGATTGGATCTGTGGCTCTGTGCTATATAGGAGATGACCGTAGCTGTATCGACACGAAGTGGTAGTTTAGCTTAATTGTTCTTTTCTCATTTTATATTTTGAAAAATAATTTTGATTAACTTTATGCATGATATGTATAAATCAATTAAAGTTTCAATTTACTTTATATATATATAATTAAAGAGACTGTTGAAATCAATTGGGTTGGTTGAAAACGAAGAATTTATGGACAATATTGAGGGGTCACATTCTTGGGAATATACTTGTCTGTTGTCTCCAACTAGTTCATTGCAAGGTGGGACTCCCACAAAACCCTAACCTATACACCTCTTTAATATTAGGAATCCAAAAAAAAAACAGATAAAAAATGCAATATTGTTGTGTAACAGGCGAGATGTGGTTTACAATAATTTAGACAGTGAAAAATCGATAATTTATAAATTATTTATTTTGATTTGGATAAAAAAAACCATTAATTGATTATTTTATAAGAATATAGGATATGATATAATCTCTTTTTATTCTCATTAAATACTTTAAAACATATATGAAGAATTTAATAATTACGTAATTATTTAATAATTAGATTGAATATAAAATTGTGTAGTATATGAGTCGATGTGTGAATATGTTATCGTTTATGCAATTGATTATCATGCCACTGAAATATGGGAAGATGAATCCTTTGTTCGAGTCGCAAAATGATTAAAAGCCAGCAGGGCAGTGGGTCCTATAAATCACCATCAGAATGTCGAGCAACTTGGGAAATACCAACTCATCGGTTTCACATGTTCAACCAACTAAGAAAGCTGATTGCATTTAATCCCAGCGACAGCAAAAGGCGGACCACGTCCTGCCTGCCAAGAACGCTTGAAATAACGAAACAAACAACAAAAAGAGAAAAACCAGAAACTATGAGACTTGTTTAATCAACCCAATTTCCCTATTCCACTGAAATCCGAAGAGATCGAATGAGCTGTGAAGATAATCAAAAGGCGCAGCAAACCAAAGCACAGAGATTTTCGTGTAGTTCTTTGAGAGAAAATCTGGAGTTGACCCGAGGGAGAAGACTCGCTAGAGATACGGCGATGAGAGAATCAAGGGTTCAACTTTTAATCTGGAGGAAGATCTCAAAGATCACGATTTAATCCTATGGTTTCTCTTGAATGCCCCACAAATTGAGTTTCTAGATGACTAAAAATTAGAAAACAAACCAAAACCAAAGCTGGGTATCGCGAAAAGATTATAAACAACTCAACCAAAACAAGAAAGAACTTATAAACACTACTAAGAGGGCAAACGAATGAAGAGAAAGAAAGCCTAACCTGGGTATCGCGAAAAGCTTCTCTTTTTCGTCGCGAAATTTTTGATCTGGATCTCAAATCAGAGAGAAATCGAAGGGAAAGAAGGGTTAAGAACAAGCTGTGTTGGATTTGGATGCAGTGAAAGAGATGGCTGTTGTAGCTTTCTGGGTAAATTGTAATCGGCGGGAGGGAAAAGAAAATCGTGATGGAAAAATGGCTAGGGCTAGAGGAGAATTAAAATAGACTTTGCGACGTTTAACAACACAAACGCCACTGAAGGGTAACTTTGCGGCGTTTTAAATAAAAACGAAACTAATGTTAATAACATTTGCGGCGTTTTTTGTACAAACGCCACTAAAATACGAATCATTTGCGGCGTTTGCTACCAAAACGCCGCTATATGTGAACCCTATTACGATATTTTTGTAAAAACGCCACTAAAATACTATTTTATTACTACATTTACTCCCCAAACGCCGCTACAAAACACTTTTGTTGTAGTGTTAGTTAAATAAATAAATATAAACAAAAATGATAGAACCATATTGCCCATATGAGTCATTTTTAATTTACTTGTAAAAATGACACTCTCAAGAGAAGTATATATCAAAATTTGAAATAACATTTCCAACGAAAACATCTCATGTCAATTGCGTCACGTTAATTTTATTTTTTAAAATATATATGACATTATATGCTTTTATCTATGTAATACAGAAAAAATACATCAAATGATCAAATTTAACAAAAACATTTCAAAAAACTAAATGAATTTTATCTAAAAAAAGAACATATGCAATACATGACGTGTTGGCCCAAATACAAGTCAAACAACAACAACAGCACACTTGTATGAGTCTCGTATTTAACCGCTTTTTAAGCGAATGATAGAAGGCTATATTTAAGTACTTGAATAAATCAATACCTAATTAATGATAAATTTAGTAATACAAATGCCACATTCATTAGATATTAATTTTTCCAAATACTTAAATGTAGTCTTTTAATATACATATAAAAAAGATTAAATACAAGACACACATATATGTGTTACTGTTGTTATGTTAATATATGT